TACGCGAGGGTCAAAGCTCGGAGCGGAACGGATCACTGCACTACGCACGACGATTAATGCGCAACTTGGTTAGACGACCGACCGTTGTTGCGTTCGATTGAAATCCAAATGACAATTATCGGGCCACGATTCCTCGAAGAGAATTAATGATCGATAATCAGTAATCGGTAATCGATAATCGATAAAGAGTGCGTTTCATCCTGATGGTTGTCGACATATAATTTGAAAATTCCAAAGGAATTAAAGGAATTTGGCGGATAAAAATTCTCGTGAGTCTGGAAAGGATCTACTTGGTAAATTGTACATAAATCGTGAAAGGCTCGTGCCGCGGACAAAGAAGAAAGTTAAGAAACTAAGCGAGGCGTGGCGAGGCGAGGGAAAACAACGCCAAGTTCGAATAAAAGAGCCTCGTAACGGAGGGGCTTCGTACGGCCCTGGCGCGATTGCGGCACTGCACCCCTACGGGGGGCTCTCTGCCAAACACACCGAATCCGTCCTCCACCCCGGAACACAAGAACCACGTGAGTATACGACTGACCTAGAATCAATGGAGTACGATAAACGGACGGACGGACGGACGAAGAGACGATAGACTTGTAGACGGACAGACGGATATAGACGGATATAGACGGATATAGACGGACGGACAGAGTGACCAGGTGACAAAGCGACGGATAGGTGGACAGATAGAGAGAGCTGACGGCTGGAGAGAGAGAGGACTTTTCAGTTGAACCTGGCTGTGTTTTATGAAAAGGGTTGTTCGGGCGGTCGCGGGGCGAATGGCAATGGGAGAAACAGCGGCGGTTCGCGCAGCAACGGGTCCGATCCGGCGTCGGTGGTGTTGGTGGCGGCGGCGGCGGCGACGGTGGCGGAGGCGGAAACGGAGGCAACCGAGTCGCAGTCGCAGTCGCAGCCACAGGCGTCGCGTGCAGGCGGCACTTCTTCGCATCGGCACAATGGGACCGAGAATTCTCGCGAAACCGATTTGTTGTCTCACGCGACTTCCGCGCTGCGAAGACTGCACTTTAAATCCACCGGAGGGAGTCGAAGTAGTCGCAGCGTTCCGAAAGTCGTTGTCATGGGATCGAGCACCGCTTCGGAAACCACGATCAACACCAGCACCGACAGCGCGAACACGATGCTCACGATGGTAAGGTAACGCGCGACGGTTGCTCGCGCGCGAACCAATCCTATCTCGAGACGATAAGCCTCGCAAACGGTTCGAGAGAGAAATTGATCGCAGGTAACGACCACGGACGGAGAACAACCGGACGATAGTTTCGATTTGATAGACATCCCGGCGGAGATGTCGCCGCCCACTCCATTGCCGGCAACCGCA